ACTCTTCAATACTAGTGCAGTTTTATTAAACTATAAAAGAAAATTTAATTGTGTGAACAATATTTTTTTATAAAACGATAGAAAAAAACCTTGACCTGCTAAAGAAATTTACACGTGACTCAACAAAAATGCCGAAGGACTTTCACTTTTGGGAAGACAATAAATACTGGTGTCCAGCACTTCAATTTTGAATAATCCATCAGTCCTTTGTTGGCTGAATTGTGTTCATCCTTAAGAAAATGGGAAGCTTAATATGGTTTTCCCAAATCCTCTGCCTTTCCTTCATTTTGTTACAGTTTCGAGTCCAAAGCTCCTCACCTTCTCAATCTTCTCTTAATTCACCGCCACATTTGTGCCGTCCTGAAGAGCGTTCTGCATTGCTTGATTTCAAAAGCACTACTAATGTGGTGGAAAGCTGTCCTTGTACTCCTCGTCCAATAATACAAGCTTGGAACGAGAGTAAAGACTGCTGCTTGTGGGACGGTATCACATGTGACAAGTCGAAAGGTCACGTGATTGGCCTTGATCTCAGCAGTAATCGTCTTAAGGCCAATCTAACTGCAAACAGTAGTCTCTTCCGCCTTGAGAAATTGCAGAGTCTCAACCTTTTTGACAATTTTTTCCATTATCCTAATGTCTCATTTGGGTTCGACCGTTGGAAGAGTTTGACGTATCTTAATCTTTCAGGTACGAGATTCTATTTCTTTTTTTTTTTTTTTTCAAATCTCCATGCTTCTGAAACTGGTTTCACTTCTTCTAATGTGACAAATCTTTAACCTTGCAGATTCAGATTCAGGATACATGGATGGCTCTCTCCTGTTTGATGAGATCTCCTTGCCACCAAAATTGGTTTCACTCGATCTCTCTCATAATGGTTTGTTTCTTGACAACATAAAGTTTCAACTGCTTGTGCATAACTTAACAGAATTAAGGTTTCTTATCCTTGATTCTGTGAATATGTCTCTGGTTGTGCCTTCTTCCTTGCTAAACTTGACTTCTTCCTTGGAGCATTTGAGCCTTCGCTCTTGTAATTTGCAAGGAAACTTTCCAAGCCAAGTTTTTCAGCTTCCATCTCTCCAACTTCTTGATTTAAGAGACAACTCTCATTTGGGAGGTAATTTGCCTAAGTCAAGCCTAAGTAGTACCCTCGAGTATCTGAATCTTGATGGTTGCCAATTTTATGGATCAATTCCAGATGTTTTTGGAAAAATGCACAAACTAACTCATTTTAGCCTTTTTAATAATAGTTTTGATGGTGAAATTCCTACATCAATCTTCAACCTCGCTAATCTTACTTATTTGAGACTGTCATCAAATAAGCTAAGAGGGCCTCTTCCTCATAGTATAAGTGGACTCTCATTTTTACACGAGTTTCGAATGGATAATAACTTCATCGTAGGTCGTGTACCATCTTGGTTGTTTTCTCTGCCTTCTTTATCTTATTTAAACCTCGCAAACAACAAACTTACAGGTCCTATTGATCATGTTGAGATACCTAATCTCATTTTAGAAGAAATCTATTTGTCCAATAATGAGATAAGTGGTTCAATTCCTAGCTCTTTCTTTCATCTTGTGAATCTTACTATAGTGGACCTTTCTTCAAATAATTTAGGTGGCACCATTACAGCCAACATGCTTTCAAAACTTGTAAACCTTTTGAGTCTGGATCTTTCCAATAATAGTTTGCTGTCTTTGAGCAATAATAGCACTGCTGTCAACTATTCCTTTCCGAACCTCTGGTCTTTAAAATTCTCTTCTTGCAACATACAGAAGTTCCCAAGTTTCTTAAGGGAGGCAGAGAGTTTGAGGGAATTGGATATTTCTAAGAACAATATTTCTGGTCAAATTCACAAATTGGAAATAGAAGGGATGTCATTGAGTATTTTAAACCTTTCTTATAACTTCTTGACCGGTATAGATTCACTTGGTTCTGGAAATTTTGAAACTATTGACCTCAGATTCAACTTACTACGAGGATTACTTCCCATTCCATCAAAAACTTGGGGTTATACGGTACAACTCTTCATTTCACGGAATAATTTGAGTGGCGAAATCCCGTCTTCTTATTGTAATTTGACTTCTCTTGGAGTTCTAGATTTAGCTAATAATAATCTGGGAGGAAAAATTCCAGAATGTCTTGGAAACTTGAGAAATCTCGCCTTCTTGGATCTGCGGATGAATAAGTTTTACGGTAGAATACCAAATTCTTTTGTCAACAAGAGTGAACTGAGAACTCTTACCCTAAATGGCAACCAGTTGGAAGGTATACTGCCACGGTCTTTGGTTAATTGCAGTAACTTGGAAATTCTAGATGTGGGGAACAACGACTTGAATGATACCTTTCCAGATTGGTTAGGTGTTCTTCCAACGCTAAAAGTTCTCATCCTTCGATCTAATGGATTTCATGGTGCCATCAACAATTCTATGCCTGCATTTTACTTCCGTCAGTTGAGAATCATTGATGTTGCGCATAATGATTTTATGGGTCTCCTACCGCGTAACTTCTTCAAAAATTTGACAGCTATGAGAGATGTAGTTGACGGGCAATACACTAATAACCAGCAAAGAAGTATACCTTTATGTAGTCCACATCAACAGTGCCGAAGCGGAGGTGTTCCTCAGCAGCTTTATTATGAGGATTCTGTGAAGGTGGTAGTGAAAGGGTCAGAGAGGGAGCTTTTAAGGATCTTGAACATTTTCACAACTATAGATTTCTCGAGCAACCAATTTCATGGACCGATTCCTGAAGAGCTGGGAGAACTCAATTTACTTAAAGGGCTAAACTTGTCTCACAACAGTCTCACAGATCCAATTCCGTCATCGTTGGGGAAATTAGTAGAACTCGAGTCATTAGATCTCTCATCAAACAAGCTTGAAGGCAGGATTCCTGAGCTATTGACAGCTCTCACATTCCTATCATTTTTGAATCTTTCACACAATGAACTTGTGGGCCACATACCTGAAGGGAAGCAGTTCAATACTTTCTTAAATGATGCCTACATTGGAAACTCTGGGTTGTGTGGATTCCCATTGACAAAGAAATGCCATAACAAGGAAGAACCAGGAGCACCTCCATCACAATTTGATGAAGAAGATGACTCTACAGCACTCTTTGAGTGGAAGTTTGCATTGGCGGGCTATGGGTGTGGACTGGTGTTGGGACTTAGTCTGGGATACATTGCCTTCACTACTGGAAAACCATGGTGGGTGGTGAAGAAAGTGGAGAAATATCAACAGAAATTAGTTGGAAGGGGCAACCGAAGGCAGAAGAAGAGAAAAACCCAAAAACCCAACCAACGCTGTTAGGTGAGAAAGTTCTTACAACTCTTTAATATTTGCGTTCTATCTAAGTTCTAACCATAAAAATCAAGGCATATTATATAATAGTGAAACTTAATTTTTCTATTTTTGCCTTTTCTTTCACATAGGTGAAAGCAGGTGCAGTTGATTTCTTACTTCGGGGAGATCTGCAACAGTTGCTTCTTGAGTTTGTTTCCATATTTTTCATGTTTATTGTTGATATTTAGTTGTGTTGACCTGTGTGGGAATTATGGTTATGTATGAATTTGTGTTGATTTCTTTTGGATTTCATGTATCTGCTCTGCAGGCAGTTGTTCATGTATTTTTCTTGGTGTAATTGGTTTCTTTTGATGTTATCTATCTCTTCGTATTTTATTATCTTTTCCTCTGTTTTGGTTGCCTTTGAACAATGCGTTTTACTGAAGTAAAATGTAAAAATTCTTTAATTTTTAAACCCCCAAACATCTCCTTTCAACATATTTCTCCGATCGGTGTGGAAGCAGAGACGCATCCAACGAATCTTGGATGACAGCTGAGCGATTTCAGGGAGGATTATTGCTTAAGAAGGCTGGGTGAGGGACGATCCCAACCTCCTTTGCTCTCCGGAGGCCCACCCTCTACCCATGGCCAAACTCAAGTTTTGTTCTTTGGCTGGTAATCTGATTCATAGGCAGGTAATTTTCCTTGGTGTTTTCCTTCTGTCTGGAGATATTAATTTCTGTCTTTAGAGGGAAAGCTGTAATTTTCTTTGCGTGGAGTAAATTAATGTGTTTTGCCTTTACTACTTAAATTTAAAAATTTTAGATATTACCATGCTGCGTATGCCAAGGTTGAGATACCATGTTTCTGTCTGTTAAAAAACAACATATGTAGGTTAGCATTAACATATGCATGTTCCAGGTCTCATTTGTAAACTTTTATTTAAATTCTGAGGTGTATACAATATATTCATGGCTAGTCAATGTAGGTCATCAATGGATATTTTTGCTGAGATAGATTAAGAGTTATATTTGTTGTTCTTTCTGCAAACTCATCAATGGATATTTTTCTTACAAATGGTATATCTAACGAGCATCCTAAAATTGAGAATCTGTGGAGCTAAGAGAGAGATGACCCAATATTACATCCTCAGGAAAGGTTTCTGTTGTCATGGCTGAAGTAATTACTTGTTTTGATGGCTCTGGTATTCAGGTACCTATTTTGCAGTTAAAGGCTGAGAGTTATTCTTGAATTGAAACTTGAAAAATGTCTTTACCTGTTATTGCCATTGATATTGCATTGTCTTATGAATTATTTCTTATATCTAATGAGAAGATAAGATAAAGAAAGTTGTGTCTTATGGATGTTTTTCTTTTTGGGTCACATTCCTCAAGGGAAGGCAATTCATTTATGAAGAATGTAAACTGTTCCATTAAGAAAATTGTGTAACAACCTGAATTTATTGTCAGTTCTATTGAACAGTCTGTTCCATTAAGGTCAAGCACTTGAATTTGTTTAGCAAGCTCAATTTACTGTAAGTTCTATTTGTGGCATTTCTCACTTTTTTGCTAGCTGTGTTGTATTATGTCCCAGACCCATTTTCCTGCTTTTTCTTTCTAATTTTGCTATGTGCACTCACCAAAACTGTGTATTACTCTGGGCCTGGATTAACACATAGAGATTCTTTATTGGTATGAGAGTTAGTTAATTAAAGTGTAATGGAAATTCCAAAAGTAGTTAATGCAGGTCTTATGTGTTTCTGTTATATTAAGGCGTCAAGGTGATTTTGATACCATGTGTTGCTATCTATTCATCCTGGATGCTATTGCTTTTTAAATTTTATTTGCCATTTAGCCTTATGGGATTAGCACTCTTCTTTTAGTTGTCTTAATTCTTATTTGTTCTTATTTGGAAGCCTCTTGAATGTTTTATTGATTTCATCACAGTTTCTCCTTTGACGCTTTTGGCGGATCACTGCAGAAATGGGGAAACTCACCTTTTCTCAGAGTGGTACATTGTCTACCATAACCAGTTCACTTGGCTGTATATTGCTGCTCTTAGACACTAGGGCACTTGTTGACGCTCCTGTAGAAGGTTTGTTCAGTCCAAGTTATTTTAAATATCTTTAAACTAGGAAGCTATCTTAACTGAATGATGGATTTCATTTACTCTTTCAAGGATATAATTAATTAACGCAAGCTGCTTGTTCTTGAAGATTTTAATCAACAGAGGTTGTCTGGGTGAAGTTCCTCTTACTTTGAACCAACAAAGAATGACTATTGCCTTGGAAACAAATTCTTGAGGTATATATGCACGATCTTTAAGATATGTTTAGATTGGAGAAAGAAGTCTCCAGATTGAAATCAATTTTCTTTTAAATATAATATGAAAATCTGTCACCCACTGGATTTATTAACTGGAAGTTTTTGTATGGAAATGGGGCCCCACTAGTTTACCCATTGAGTGCTTTTGTTATATTACTATTGCTAGTTTAGTGCTTTTAATTAATATTTTGTGTTGTTGCAGAAATCACTGACATAATTCTCCCCCATTGGTGGAACTCTAAGGTGATTCGTTGTATAATTAGAGCCAACTGCTTGCAGATGGATTCTATAGAAGTGCTTCAAATGGTCTAAAGTTTTGAGTAATTATTGGCTACATGATTTCAACAAAAAACATAATTTAATAATACAAAAGAGTTATTTCCCTGTTTCATTTTTAGTTATTCTGCTTTCTCTTTTCCAATGAAAAATGGAAACTTTCTGAATTTATTCTAGTATTTGAATTCAGCTGCTTTCATTGCTGGGCAGTCTCTGCGGTCACCATAGGAGATGATGCTGTGATCTTAGCTTTCAGGTGAGTAAGTTTGTTGTGTTTTGCAATAATATATTAAGCAACTCATTTCATAATAGATCACAGCAAGAATTTATGCTTTTATCAAGAGTTCTTGGAAGTTGAAAGATACAATTCTTTTATCAAGAATCTTAATTGTTTTTATTAAGAAAACAGAAACAATCTTAGAAGATTAAGTTCATATAACTGATCTTTATTTCTCCTGGCACTTCACTGACATCATAATGACATTTTTTAGCAACGTCAATTTACTGTAAGTCTATAAGTTATATTTGTAGTGTTTCTTACTTTTTAGCCAGCTACATTTCCTATTTTAGTGCCCAATTTCCTGCTTTTCCTTTCTCATTTGGTTCTGTGCACCCATTGATGCTTTTATACATATGGACCTGTATCAACTAACAGAAGTACTTATTGTTATGAGATACGGTTACAGTGTAATAGAAATCGGGAAAGTAATTTAGGCAGGCCTTACTTGTTTCTGTTCATGTGTTGTTTGTGTATTAGTTAAGTGTCATGGTAGCTGTTGCATTTTGATAATTACTATGGTGATTCTGTGATAGTAATAGTGAAAGGTTTAAAGCTGGAGCTGAAGAGAATCCTGACAATTTTCTCAAGTATTGATTTTTTAAGTAATAGATTCCAGGGACACATTCCTGAAGAGCTGGGAGAACTCAATTCACTTCATTTGCTAAACTTGTCTAACAACAGTCTCACTGGTCAAATTCCATCGTCTTTGGGGAAAATAACAGAGCTTGAATCACTAGATCTCTATCAGACAAGCTTGATGGTAGGATTCCTGAGGAGCTGACAAGTTTGACATTCCTTTCAGTTTTGAAGCTTTCACACAACAAACTTGAAGGTGACATTCCTCAAGGGAAGCAGTTCAATACTTTCTCAAATGATTCCTACATTGGGAACACTGCGTTGTGTGGGTTTCCATTGACAAAGAAATGCCACAATGAGGAAAAACCAGGAGCACCTCCATCAAAATTTGATGAAGAAGGCGACTCTGCGGCACTCTTTGAGTCGAAGTTTGCATTGGCGGCCTATGGGTGTGGACTGGTATTGGGACTTAGTCCAGGATACATTGTCTTCACTACAGGAAAACCGTGGCGGGAGGTGAAGAAGGTGGAGAAATATCAAGAGAAATTTGTTGGAAGATGGATCTGCAGGCGTAAGAACAGAAAAACCCAAAAAACATAACCAACGCTCTTAGGTGAGTTTCTACAGCCTCTTTTTATTTGTGCTCCTTCTTCTAAGTATAACAATGGATAGAATAGTCGTAATAATTTTTGTAATTTTGCTTTCCTTTCCACAGCAGAAGCTGCAGGCAGTTGGCTTTGTGTCTTCCTCCAAGAAGATCTGAAAAAAAACAATGTGTGCATGAACTTTAATTTGTTGGCTGCAGAAGCTGCAGGCAGTTGCCCTTTCTTTCTGAGCTTGTTATGCCCTTCTAATGTTTGTAGAAAATTTTGGCTAAAAATTTAATGTTTTTTATGTTATCACTTTTCTAAGTTTTCTTCCATTCCTTTCCTTTTAACGGTGCGTTTTAATGAATGAATGGAATTCTTTTCTTTTTTAATATGTGGACTGCACACGTTATCTTCTTCCTTTGACCGTACTACTCTCCGAGCAGTTCAAATTGAAATTCCAGTCAATGCCGAAGTGGACGCATCCGAAGGATGTGGTTGCAAATTTGCAATTGCGTCGCCTGCGAGGGGCTCAGTGATGTCGGATCTGGTCGGGACGGCTGACGGATTACGCCTCCGTCCTTTGCACTCTGGACTCCCAACTCTCTTGACATCGCCGACTGAACTCTTTTTCTCGTCCTTGGGTGGTCTGATTGACTGATCCGGATGAACGCAGGCTCAAGATCCGACCCGACCTGTCCTCGAGTTGTTGGTTTTTAACGAGATTAGGGTAGTGGCCGTCGGCACTTATAAGGGGTATCTGTCGGTTTATTCTTTGTCAGGTTCTCTGATTCATAGACAGGTAAGATGCTGTAATTTTTTTTATTTTTGTGTGTGTTTTCATTTTTCCTTTTTGGATTTTAAACTCATGTGTTATTATGTAATTGGGATTACTGTGTAGTATTGTGACAATGACTTTTTCATGTTATCACAAGCAGTTGAATAGGAGTTGCTCTATTCTAACTGGATATGTTTTGCAGTTTGGTACATAATTTTCTATCACAAAAATAAAATTGTGTTAACATGTGATAATTTCTTTGAAAAAATTGTGTGTATATGTAAAATTACTATAAAATATAAATATTAATTAAAAGTAAAAGCAATTCCGAATGCAGTCTTAGTGGGTGAATAAGTGTAGGATAAATTGATGATTTTTGCTTAATTACTTAACTGGATGGTATGTTGTGTTTTGTGTAAACTGAAAAATCAGATAAATTTTTTTCTGCTTGCTAAGTTTGAAATAAAATGCTTGTTCCTAATGAAGTCAGAATCTCTGAAACAAAATATGTACATTAGCATTTACATATTGTATATTTCTGAATTACATATATTGAAGGAAGGTATTAATGAGCTTATATATCATATGCTCTTATTCATAAACTTTTATTTAAACTCTGAATTGTATATACTGTGTTGATATATATTTTTGCTTAGTGATGGTATATTCTACACGCATCCTACAATCAAGAGTCCATGAAAGGTGGAACTAAAGATGATCCAAAGACACATCCTCAGAGGAGGTTTCTCTTATCATGGCTGAAGTACTTGTTTGTTCTGTTGACTCTGATATTCAGCTACCGAATTTGCTGCCAAAGCCAAAGAGTAATTGTTGAAAGGTGAAAAAGCGTCTTTGCCTGCTGTCATTAATATAGTATTATCTTGATGAATTTTTCTTTTCATCCCTTCTGGTGATGTAGAGTGTATTTCAACAAAGGTAGTCTCAAGAAACTCATTTCATTTTAAACTCGTCTCATTTTTGGGACCAGAAACCCAACGAGAGGGTCAAGACAATCAGGAAAATTCTCATGGGAGATTGCCGTATTGGTTATGGACTGTTAACTAGTATGGATTGTGTATTGATGCAGCAATCACTGGAATAAATGCCTCCTCCATTGATGTAACTCTAGGTGATTCCTTATGTAAGCTTCTTCTTTTTTTCTTTTTTTTTTTTGTGTGTAATGTTGTTAAGTGGTTGCTAATTTATATTTAAGGTTTCTTTTTAGCTGCTCAAGATATTTGGGATGATCACAAGAATATCTTATAAATGCAGTAAGTGTTACTTAAGGGGTTAAAGGAT